CCTCCCCCACCTCCTTCGTCTCTCCTCCCACCTTTCATCTGTGTATGTGTGTACGGGATCTGGGCATCGTCTATGCTTGGCCCAGACCCCACCATCTCATGATTGTATGTGTGTGGAGTGATACCTATGTGAGTCAGTCTATGTGAGTCAGTCCGTTTATCAGACTTCCGCTGCATATATGCTCATCCTACATTGGTTGATCTTTGGTTCTGCCCATACTCATTGAAGTATGTAACAGGTGGAGAGACCGAGTGGTGTCTGGCCTGGCGGATGACGGCACCCTCCTGGACCAGTCCTTCGTGCTGGCTGGGGAGAGACCGAGCCGAGTCTGACCTGGCTGTGCCCAGTCCCAGTCCCAGTTGCTGGCGCCCTGGGCCCCTTCTGGAGCAGTAGCTGCTCCCGGGTCCAGCGTGTGCGGCATCTTCTCAACCAACTGGGCCAACCGGTTAGTGGGTGATGCCGCTGCTGAGATGCTGCTGCAGGCTCTGCAACTACCCCAGGCCTCCTTTTAGCTCACTTTGGCCTAGTCTGAGCTCCCACTGCACTTTTCAGGGTGCCCGCTTTCACTTTGGGCGGGAAGGCGGGCACTCTTTTCAGCATTGCCAAGGTCCTGAGTCCTCGCAGGAGGAAGAAGACATGAGAACGGAAGAAGAAGAGGAAAATGAATGTGAGAGCAAAAACCACTGTCACGTCTCCCTCATCTCGCCATCAACCTCCTCCTCCAGCATATCCCCCAACATCTTATTAAAAATAAATTAAAATAATAATCAATAATAACAACATGATTGAATGAACCAGAATCGATCTCCGAGTCCTCCCCTTACTGCCGGCCACTCAAGAAGTCCATAGCCATCCTACACCTCCTTCTACAACTTGGTCAAGCCGGTGGCTATGGCAGACCAGCGGAGCTAGTCTCCTACATTCAAAGGACAGTGCAAGACTACTCTGCCTCTCCCACCATGGCCGCCATGCCACAGTCTACCCCCGGCATCTTCCTTACACGTATCACCGCGCTTGGGGCCTTCCAGCGAGGTGCAGCGCCAACCAAGACGATGAAGATGCAGACCACCATAGCCAAGGTAAGCTCCTTCCTCACTCAGCTCCCGTCTTCTTCCTCTTCCTCCTCCTCTTCCTTCTTTTTTTTCTTCCTCACTCCCTAGGCCTTCTCCCATCTCCGCATTGGTCACCTGCACCATAGCTGAGGTGGGATCCAAGCTCCACCTCCTTCCTTCACCTAGCGGCACACTTGCTTCGTGAGCGCTCTGGCAGCATGACTGCAACAACTGCATGCCAACCAAAAAATGAGGAAGAGCTCTTCCCTACCTCCCTTGATACACCTGACTACTCCCTTGTCGTGCGGTGACTTTCCAGGCTGCACGGCCTCCCAAAGCTACCGATACCCTGTTTTTTTTTTTTTTTTTAAAGCTACCGATACCTTCATCATTTTGCAGTCTGATATCTGCTTCCCACAGCTTCTGGACTTAGTCTCTACCGAACTGGTACCT